GCGTGTGTGTGTGTGTACACGTGTACACGTACCTGTGTGCCCATTGAACCACTTGATCAGGGTTATAGATAAGGTAACAGGAGAAAACAGTGGATATCTGAATTACATTAATGTAATGTCTACATATCCTCTACCACAATTCTGTCATCACATTATAAATGCTAACTTTTCCATTTTTATTAGTAATCTTTGACCTTTTATTTTCTTTTTCATCCAACTAAAACAACCGTTAATGCACTTGATAACTTTCTGTCAAGTTCAAAAGTATTTAGCCACAATCCAAAGTTTCTTTCCTTCTTTCTGCCCTGTTATCCAAGCCGAAATGCTACAGAACTTGAATTTGGTCAGAGCTACGAGTGAGGAAAGATCATGAAAGCTGAGTTGATCTGAGGCAACCACAACACACCGCTCCTTCTGGGAAGATTACCTGACATTTTCTTAAAGAATCTAATAAATCTCTTCTGCCCGTTTTGTTGTTGTTATTAGTGGGGGTTTTGTGTTTTTTGGGCTTTTTACTTTCTGCCCTGGTTTTTGTTGTTTTATACTTTCTCACCCCCACCTCCATTCACTTGTGTGGTTTTCTACTGAATAATACCTATAATAATTTATCAGTTCATGTCTCCATTACTTGGGGGTTCTGGATGTTTTGTGAATTTCCACAGAGTATTTGTATGGGTGAAGCATGTAATTTGTTACACATTGTTATAAGCATCAGCAGTAGGGGTGTGTGTCTTTAGGGTGAGAATATTAGGCAGAGTGTATGACTGTATGTGTAGGTGAGTATGAACATGGAGAGTTAATGCAAAAATGTTTCTATACTGTTACAGCTCCGAGGGGGTTGAGAATCTTTAACACCACTCTGTCTACATTTGGAAAACATTCTCATTTCCTTCTTTTTACCCTGCCTCTAGCTGACTTCACGCAACTTCACAAGTGTCAAATGCCTCTGAGAGGGAGGGAATGCATTAGCTCAGGGATGATTCTAAACCCATGAATGAGCTCTGGGCTGGGGGTGCCCCTCAGGGGACCCACTGACACACTAGAGAATGTGGCAAAGACTGGAGCAGATACACAAACAGACACGAGAAGAACCACATCAGAGTCCGAAATCAGGATACTCCGTTTGCTGGAGTTGGTTTCTCTTTGGCTGGCAGCCAAGAGAAGTATGAGCGAGTCCGCCCTAACTAGATAGGCAAAGCATTTGGGTCTCATCAGCTGTATCCCAAAAAATGTGAGTGGGACTTACCGATGGTGGTTTGTTCTTGGGTTGAAAGAACTGTCAAGAGAGATAAAGTCCATTATCATCACTGACTGGTGTGACACCTGAGAACAGTATAAACAATATTTGTAAGTAAAAGAAGTAGCCCTGAGCATTGGGATGTGCTCAGTACGTACCAAACTGGGGAGGGAGACTCTGCAGGGGGTGCTCCTTCCAGCAGCTTCCATGTGGTAGACGTGCCAAGGGGGATCAGGGTCCTGTCTTACTCAGTTCAGCACTGCCCGCCCCCGCGGTGTCTGACTTGTGCTACACGAATGACTGCACACTCGCTAAGCTAGCTTATTCCCTCAAGTTTCTGAGAAATCTTCGCATGGTCCCTGATACCTGTTCTCACTCTCCATCAGCTGTTGGCAAGGAGGCAATTAGGAGGAAACACCCCTAAGATCCAAGCCAGAGAAGGAATGCGGGGCCAGAGGAGGGCACGCACCAGCTCTGGCTTTTTGCCCTCTGTCTGATGGTGGGCGGGAAGGGCATTACAGATTTAGCACCTTGCATCATGGGATGCTCCCTGCAAGGAGATGCCTGTCAGGCAGCATCAGAGATTCGTAAGGGTTTTGGAGGCAGGCTGTCTCCATAGCTGGGGGAGTGGGTTTGTACAGATGCTGCCCGGA